TTTCGGACATATGCTCATAAAAATACCAACCTTATTTTTAGCACCTTGTACTAGCTCCGCTAAACTTCATAATCATTTGTGGGTCAATGCGATAATCCCCTAAGCGATCCATTCATTCTTAGTCTGTGGATGATTTGCATAATTGCCTTCGATTACGCAATGCAACGTCGAAACTTAAAAATAGATGCTATTAATAATCAAAGAAATGCTAATAATACCTGATTACGTTTACTGTCAAGTTAAAAAGTCATTCTCGCATCTTCTCCACTTCTACGTGAAATAAATGATGATCGAAACGTAACCATATAAAAAGATGCTGTCTTCTGCAAAACTAACGTGGCATTTAATAAAGGCCTTACAAAAACAAACTCATCGATCTTAGTACCACTCATCTTAAATCAAAGGAATCCGCACGTCCCACAATTAAATTTCTAATCGGAATTTCTTTGCATAAATGCTCCCATTCACCGTTTTGGAAATAAGCATTTTATGGCTTTAACCGATACTTTAATTTTCGTCGTTACGAAGATGACTCCCAAAAATATCCATTTATGTATGGGATTCATCTCCATGTGGTTCTTATGGAATGTAAAGCGAAAAAATGCCATTGAAACAAACTCTCGTGAAACCAATATCGACACTACTATTGCTGAACAAATCGGCAAGATCAAATCCGAAATAAATTCCCGTGATGCTAACTATGCAACGGAAGCACAGAATATCATTACCATGATTAATAATATGTCTGGGGATTATAACGAAGTCAAACAGGTTCTGGAAACCTACCATAATAATCTCAATCAAATCGTCAATGAATTAGAAACAATCGGAGAAACTATCACATCGGGATAGCGTTAAATTCTTTTTTATTAAATTAAAGAGGGCCGTTGATCAGATTTTCGTGATGCGATCATATTAACGTAATTCTCCCCAAAATGTATTCCAAAATTGATCCTGCAAATTATATAAAATGGTAATGTCCCTGTAGCGAATCCTTTTATCTGCCTTGTGCAAGCAAAACAAAAAAATCAAGCGAAATAATCAAACTTACTATTATTTACATCATCAATATTATCATTCCAACGAACAAGTATATTCCGCAAGGTGATGTTTGTTTTATTGCTCAATTAGCTTCTTGAAACATGCCATCATGATGCTAACCGATTTTCCCGCCTCTATAGATGTTCCAAAATAGACCAGACATATTAGTATCGTACTGGCGATAAAAAAAATCGACAGGCTTTTATATAACGTATTAAGCAATAAATTCCTCGTATATGCGATGGAATGGAATATTGTGAAAATGAACTATATCAGTAAGTGTGGATTGGAAGAATTTTCAGTTGCTAACCTCCCGAATTTAACGCTGTAGATTAGAAATTTTCTATCTTGTTAAAGTTCTCTTGCGGGAATAATATTAAATAATCTATGCGTAGTGATATAGATGTATAAAAATTCTGTAGATACGGATGGGGTAATTAATTTCGGAAATATCGTGTAGAAAAAGAGTGTGGGTAAAATCTTGTGATTAGTAGCGATAGAAAAAAATTAGATATTTTTCGTAAAAGTGAGAAAGCAAAGAAATAATTTGATGCTGGGACTCGCATTAAATGGCCTAGGATCCGCGTACTCCCTCCCTCTTTGACAGCATCATATTTCATTCGCTTCTCGACATTATTCTTGTGAAAACTTATCACCTACAAAGTTAACAATCAATCGATAATGTAATTAATCCACTTTTTCTTAGAATTTGCTCAAAAGCATCTAGATAATAAAAAATATGCTTGTGAAAACTTATACTCTTAAATTTCGTTTCACCCCCATTAAGCCTTTTGACAGTCATTGCGTTGCGCAAGCTTCAAAAAGGGCTTATAAACAGCAGTGATAACAAGTCTCTTTGCAGTCGCTACTTGAAGATGGAAATTATCACCCCCATTAAGCCTTTTGACAGTCATTGCGTTGCGCAAGCTTCAAAAAGGGCTTATAAACAGCAGTGATAATAGCGAAAAACCGTTTCCTTGTGCGTAGTTTTTAAAATTTCACGTAAACACGTGCTCTTTTATTTATAGTAAGATCGACATGGTGTCCAATAAAATATGCGCGAGTCAAGAAAATAACACGAAAGAAATACAGTATTTACCCCACTTTGCCCATTTTATCATATTAACACAACTATTCTATTCACTGAAACCTTGAAAATGTGTGAGAATGAGCAGGACTTGGATAGTATATTTGAACAATTTACACCAGTCAA